GTGTTTCGTTGTGAAAGCGAAACTACTTTGTTTGGCCTTCCAAAAGAGGACATAATGTTTCTATAAAGTGGGGCAGTTCCAACTTTGCAAGGACAGTCTGGCGCTTCTGACTCACAGCCTGTAAGTACGTTTTTTATATTTAAAGAATTTGCCACTGATGATTCAAACGCGAGTTTGAGCAGTGTAGAGTAGCGCTTGTTGTTCGTCATTTCTCCGATTACAAATGCAGACATGGTTTTATGTTTATGCGGCGCAATACGCAACGCAAAGCATAAAAACACAGTATAAGTCATTATAATCAGTAATTATGTCCCCACTGGATGTAACAAATGCTTCGTTTATAATAGGTTTTATTGGTTTTGTCTCGTTGCGCCGGGACACATGGAATCACAGTATGGTAAGGGCGTAACATTTCCGTCACACGCTTGAGGTATTCAGCCAATCACAACACACTGGATAGCTGGCCAATCAGAGCACACCTCGCTTTTCAGAACGATGAGCTTTGTAAAAATCGATGTGTTTCAGAAAGGCGGGGCATAGAGGAGAAACAATAATGTACATTATGTGGAAAATAATGTGTTTTTTAACCTTAAACCGCATAAACGCATTGCATTACACCAAATACACCAAATAATGTTCTTTTTAGCAACATCATATGACCCCTTTAATATGAACTATACAGAGACGAGATTAAAAGAAAATACCACGTAAACTTTTCTGAAGCCAGTCAGTTCCCCTCAGAAACACATTCATATAAACCCCCAAATCAATATTGAGGATTTTCTTCCAATAGTTCATGCATCATGAACAGTGAGTGATCTGCCTGCTACAGTATTTTTCTCTGTGCGTCAATCTTCAGCGCCTCTGGCCTGTGTTAACGGGCATTTACAGACTTCATATTTTCACATAAATGTCATTTTGGGAAACGATTGCATTGCAACGCAGTTTGTGCAAGTCCAGAACAGAGACGAGTTGCTTGCAATAAGACAAAAAAAGGGCCGGTTGTCAATCACGTAAGTTCCAGGGGAAGCTCCTTAGTTCGGCCATCCTACACAGTACACACGTGACTGACCACTCAATCGCACCAACAGGAGGAGGAGAGTCGTGTTACTCTCTACACTGCACTCAACCTGAGGGATTCCTACACTTTCAGTCTTTGAGGAGATATGAAAAACAGCACATACCGCAGGGACGGTATAACGGAAAATATTAGTGGTTTTGAAACCGTGAAAATTTCAAATCGCGGTATACCTTGAGACCGGTAATCGGCCCATGCCTAGTCTATATTACTTTGTTAAAGAAATAAATATGTGGCTTTACGTATCTATTGGTCAGTGATGCCAAAAAACTCCCTTTATCAGTTTTCACACTGATGGCCCTTACAAAGTCAGGGGAGAGATGCAATCATTTACTGAAATATCTACAAATTATTTACAATCTGTTTCTGTCAGTGAACATGACCAAGAGTACAAACAAGCTCCTAATAATTTCCGATTTTATCTCGACAAGTAACTTAACAAGTTTTTTTAAAAAGAGGCTTGTCTGATCTGTCAGCAAACAGGACACAATCTGTCACATTGTTATGATCTGTTAAATCCGTTACAGTCTCTAGGAAATCCCTTCAGGCTGCTTGTGTTTTTAGAATGAGTTTGGTCAAATTTAACCTCAGTCAGTATGAATGTGTGTGAAAATACTTTATATGGATAATATATTACTTGCAACTAAATGCCATAAATGGAACTGGAAGTGCTTTATTCATAAATATGCCATATTTGTACACGGTGCAGACTGAAAGGCCATAAAAGTTGGATGCTTTTATGTGTGTGTGTGTGGGTGTGTGTGTGTCAAGTCAAGTCAAGTCACCTTTATTTATATAGCGCTTTTAACAATATAGAATGTCAAAGCAACTGAACAGCATTAATTAGAAAAATAGTGTGTCAATAATGCAAAATGACAATAGTAAACATTCATTTT